GATGGAGGAAAAAAATCTAGATTTATTCAGCTGAAAACCAGACAAGCCACAAGCAGCTATAGGAACCTCAGATTTAAGCCACATTCACCAGTAGCTATAGGAACCTGTTACACCTGATTCACCAGGAGCTATCAGAATCTCAGATTTACTGGTTTAAGCATTTCCAGGAGTCAAAACAAATGTCTGTCCTTTCAGATTTATTTATTCAGACTAAACTGAACCAGTTACATTATCAGCTAAAGTACATAAAGCTAAAGTTCAAGCAGGCTGAACAGAAACTAAAACCATAAAACTGTACAAGCTAAAAAGATCAAACAGCAAATGAACATTTTGAGATTTAAAACCATCTACATTGTGAGTGTCGGAGCTGGTCTGAAATTTTTAAAAGCGACCCGGTACGGATCAGCTTCGAGTCCAGTCCCTGGTTCTGAATGTTTGACCGGTTCCTCTGAGGTTCTGCTCTGAGCTCTCCTCCTGCTCCTGCAGTTGGAGCGCAGCTACCAGCGCTTCACAGCGTTCTACGCCAGCAGACACAGCGGCAGGAAGCTCACCTGGCTGTATCACCTGTCCAAAGGAGAGCTGGTCACCAACTGCTTCAAGAACAGGTAATCAGATTATAATCCGAGCTGAGTCCAACATGTGGGCCCAGGTTCTGACCCAGACTGACTCCTGGATAGGTACACGCTGCAGGCGTCCACCTTCCAGATGGCCATCCTGCTGCAGTACAACACGGAGGACAGCTACACGATGCAGCAGCTGACCGACAGCACGCAGATCAAAACGGTGAGGAGCCAGAACCAGAACCGCTTCCTAAATGTTCTTTACTAACAGTTCTGTCTGTTCTCAGGACATCCTGGTTCAGGTTCTGCAGATTTTGTTGAAGTCGAAGCTGCTGGTGAGGGAAAAACTTAACTTTTAAAACTGGTTCTGATCAGAACCTGGTTCTGTTGGACCACCAGAGGGCACCACATTTAACTCGACAGGTCTCGTTAATCTGGACTTCCTGTTTCAGGTTCTGGAGGACGAGAACGCCAACGTGGACGAGGTGGACTTCAAACCTGACACGGTCATCAAACTGTTCCTCGGATACAAAAAGTGAGCAGCGGTTCTGTCACAGTCGGGTCGGTGCGGGTTCTGGTGCTCTAACCTGCTTGTTCTCCTGCAGTAAGAAGCTGAGGGTCAACATCAACGTCCCCATGAAGACGGAGCAGAAGCAGGAGCAGGAGACGACCCACAAGAACATCGAGGAGGACCGGAAGCTGCTGATCCAGGTCCACCTCCAGAACTTTTAACGGCTCTAATCCAGTTTGGATCTTTAAGTTCTGTAAATTATTATTATTTTTTCTTTTAGGCTGCCATCGTGAGGATCATGAAGATGAGGAAGGTTCTGAAGCACCAGCAGCTCCTGGCTGAGGTTCTGAACCAGCTGTCGTCCCGGTTCAAACCCAGAGTCCCCGTCATCAAGGTAACGTCCTCCAGGTCCTTCCAGGTCGGATCAAAGTCCAAATCCAGGATGTTTTGTCTCCATTTCTTTGAGTTGTATAATAAAAACCCTCAGATGAGACCTTAGGACCGAACAGAACCTCTGACGATTCTGTCCAGTACCTGGGCTTTTAAAAACCTCCCCTTTCCAGATTATTATTATTTTTTTTACCTTTTTCTTGTTTTAGATCAGCTGAAACTCCAGTTGCTCCAGTGAGCTTCATATTTTTCATATCGGCTCTTTAAATTGAACGGAACCGACACCTTAAAGATTCTGGTTTCTCAAAAGTTTCCCTAAAATGTAAAATAACACGTTTAATTCTCACACGATGATGTAAACTTTTTTTTTATTTCCAAAAGTCAAAAAGGATTTAAAATATAGAAATTCTAAATATTAAAAAGTTTATTAATTTTCTGGTGACCACAAAATACCCAGAATGCATCTGAAAACAGTTTTTGTCTCCTTGTGGACAGAAATGCATCGACATCCTGATAGAGAAGGAGTACCTGGAGCGAGTGGACGGTGAAAAGGACACCTACAGCTACCTGGCCTGAGCGCTGGCCCCGCCCCCGGCTCTCCTCACCTTTTTTATTTGTAACCTTTATTTTTTTTATTTTACGTCTGAGTAATAAAGTGTGGATCGTCCAACCAGAGGACTTCCTGTCGCCCCGCAGTGATGAAGGAACAAACGCCCCTCCTGCTGCGGCTGGGAGACCCCGCCTACCCCCCTCCTCCTCCAGTCATGTTGTAAATAACACGGACCGATCCAGAGCCATGAAGAGTTAGTGGGTCGGAGGAGAGCCGCTCCCACAGGTTTCTGCATGCTACTGCCTAAACAAGAATAAACCCAAACGACGCAGTCCACCCAGCCGGGTCGGCCCGAACCGCAGAGCTGCTGCTTCTGTCCGCTCCAGATGTTCTGGTCCGAAGGTCGGGTTGGTGCAGGAGGCCTGATCCATTACTGAACGGTGGACATTTGTATAGTGTGGTTCATTTTCTAAATGTGTGATAAATAAAAACAAGGAAAGATTTCTTTAAAGCGCCTCGCCCGGGTTCTGCGCACTTCCTGGTTCTGTTCTCAGCTCAGTCTAGCCTCTTTTATAACTGGTTCTTCACAAGTAGGAAATTCTATTTCATTCACAAATATTTTCCCCATAGAAACATTCACTTTAAAACCACCAAACTACAGCTAATGTTAATGCTAATCTACTAATGTTCTGTTAAAGGGCTCAGCATTAATCTGAACAGCTGTACGTTCATTGTCGCACAAACATTCCAGTCAACGAGATGCGGCGCAGAACTCATGGGAAGCCCCGCCCCCTGCAGTATACGTCACCGATGAGGTTTCTTCTCATCAGTCTCCATCCCTGCAGCCATTTGGCCACAAATCTATCACGAAGAAAGCGCAGCACTTTTCAGCAGACGAGACTTCCAAACACGTCTGCACGCTCTCCATCCAGTTTGACCAGTTGAAGAGTCGAGTGCATTTCAAACACGCTCACAAACTTGTGACCAGTCACACACTAGCTGCGTAAGCCTGGCCCAGGCCTTGTCGAAGGGGCGGAGCTTCGCTGACAACAAAATGATGCAATTTTGCAGCTTCAGATGGAGGGCCTTAAGTCGAGTTAGCATTTTTCTACTTTTAGCTTCTTTGGCCATTGTGGCTAAATCTCTTTTTTAAAAACAAGAAAATGTCTTCATGGTGGCAGATTAATTTAACTGAGGTTACAAATAATCTAGTTCTGGAACGGTTTGGTCCAAAATGAAAACTCAGAATCTGAAGGTTTCAGAACATTTTAATATTTTAACAGAACCCTGTAAACAAGAAAAATCAGCACCTGGATCTAAAACAGGAAGAACCTGAAGTTACAGAATCGGGCCGGGTCGCGTCTCATTTAACAGTCAGTTTATTTCCCAGCATGCAACTGGGCATGCTGCTTGGTACCCGGCCCGAAGACCTGCTGGTTCTGAAGTGAGAAGGCTCATCTGGATCAGCAGGGTGGGAAATGATTGAATCCGACAGAAAACAGACGAGTGAAGCACCAAGAATCAACCCCTGAAGAATCCGTCGGCCCGGTTAAAAACCCGACTGGAGGCCGTAATAAATTAGAACCAGGCGGTTTAAAAAATAGGATCAGTTTCTGAAAGCCTGTCGGGTTCGGACCTTTGAGCACCAGAATCCATAGGAAGAGGGAGGTTCCAGAGAGGAACACTGAGAGGCAGTGCAGGGTTCTGAGGTTCTGGACCTGTCAAAACCTGTTCTGGTCTGAGGCCTGAAGGTACGGCAGAGCCATGATTTCCCATCATCCCTCACTGCTGTGTTCATTAAAACAAAACACGTTGAAGACCAAATTTAACCCTTTGACATAACACCCCCACCCCCCCCCACCCCAGCTAAAGAAAACATTTTTATTTAAACTCCAAATCTGGTGAAAGACACTTTTATTCTTTGGCTCTTTATGCTGCAGGTCAGCCATTTTGAAGGTAGATTCAGTGTAAAGGTCATCAGTATCTTACCTGTAGTAGATGCTTGGAACCACCTTCGTTTAGAACGATAAGAGTTTAGTTCTGACCCGATCCATGATTCGAGTCTTTATAAACTTAACGTCAGAAACTAAACTTGGTTTTATATTAAATTTGACTTACGAGTCTCAAAAGCTCAGCCTTGATTGTGACGTTAGAGTTAGGACCATTTTATTCTTTGCTTTATATATTTTTAAAAGGTTTAGAAATGTTTTTGGTATCCTTTTTTTCTTCTTATAAACAGACGCATTTATCCAAAGCTGAAAAATCCTGAAATACACATTTCACACAAACTTCAAAGAGCAGCAGCAGCTAGCTGTAGCACTTCCAGGACACTCTAGGTTTACAAAACTACTTTTACGTGAACCATAATGTTCCTGAGACTGGATCCACTTTTAACCTGCTCAGAATTTAATTCTAAAAACCATCTGCGACAGGTATGGCACTGACTGTTCACAAGGTTTACACAGAACCCCACTTCAACAGGTCTAAACAGTCAGAACTCATCAGTCTCTTTAACAGTGAACAGAGTTACAATAATCTGGATTAAAACTCTGACCTTAAAGTTTGAATTTACACTTAAAGGTCTGGTAAAGGTAATTAAATGGCAGGTCCGGTGTCGGTCCGGAACCGATTCCAGAACAGAAGTTGAAACCTGGACGTGTTTAAAAGAACAATGACCAGAGAAGTTTTAGTTTTGGGTCTGAGGAGCAGAAAGCTACTGAGGGATGATGGGATACATTTCAGAGAGGCGGAGTCAGAACCGCTAAGTTCTTTGAAATGAGACCGACTCTTTGAATTTAGCACCTGAAGTGGCGCCGCCGCTCCGAGACCTAAAAACATGGCTGAAGATCCTCTGGCTGCTGGGTTTAGACCCATCAGAACCTAAAGGACAGTCACTTCCTGTTTGACTTAACCCAAACAGGAAACGTTGGTTTGGCAGCGTTGGAGCCGAGGAGCTGGTTTGGTTCAAGAACAGGAGAGATCCGAGTCCCAGAGAAGAACCGACAGAGCCCGGTCTGCGGTCCGAAGAGCTGCTGGTGGAGGAGTTTGGTCCCTGAAGTGTAGAACTTTTAAAAAGTTGTGGTTCCGTCTCAAACGCGTAGAAAATTAACAAAATGTGGATCCAAACGTCCCGACGGGAGAGACCAGTCTGAAACTTTCCTGAAACTGTCGACCAGACTTCCTGAAGGTGTGTGTGTGTGTGTGTGTGTGTAAGGCCTTGTCGTCCGTCAGGAGGTAGAATCAGGCGATCTCAGTCTCGCGCTCGATGCCGACGTACTTCAGAGCGTCGGCCTGGCTGTACCTGAGGACGAGACGCAGCGTCGGGTTTTAACAAGAAACGTAGAAATGTAAAACTAAAACCTTCAGGATTTCACAGAATTTGAGAAAACAGAATAATTATAAACATGGAGAGAGAAAAACTATCTTAAATAAATATAAACTCCTGATACGACAAACAACCCTCAGACAGTTTCACCACAAATCGCACACATCTGTTTTGTGTTGTCAGTAGAAACTCAACCCGGATAAAGCCCAGATTATTTTAAAAATATTAATATAACGGTCAGAATATTCCCCCATCAACTCCCACTCACTTCACTTCCTGTTCCAACGGACCCGTTGAAATTCATTAATGCAGCTTTGAATCCATATTTATCTCAAAAACTGAGCCGTTACGTTTTCATCTCTATTTCTGAGCTCATATTAGCTCACTCTGATGCTTCGTTACATTTGGTTTGAGCTAAAGATCTGAATCATTGAATCAGGACTCGTGAATCCCCAGGTCTAAATTAACTTGGATGCTACGAGTTAGATGACTCATGGAAAGATCACTGCTCGCATGCGCTGCGGACTCAGGCGAGTTGAGTCAGTGACTTAGATTAAGGACTCAACAGAAAAACAGGTGGACTCCGGTGAGTCGCACACGTTTCAGATACAAAACAGAGTTTAAAAAAGTTTGCTCAACTTAAATCTGAGTTACACATCAGCTCTACCTTTCAGTTCACTTCTTGTTGTGGAACTGTAAAAAGGTTGTGTTGCAGTGTGATGGACTCGAGTGAACCGGATCATTTCAGTGAATGACTCAGATTAAACAGAGTCCTCTAACTGAACTGGATTTACCAGCTCTAAATAGAAAACTCACGTTCTTCTCAGCTGCAGTCTTTTGTCTCAGCTCGTACGACTAAATAGTTTCAGTTCAGATGCAAAGATTAAAAACACGTGCGTCGTGCACGAGCGAACAATTGGTACAAAACCGCAGGTCCACAAGAACGACGGCAGCCTGACTGAAACCTTGACCCGTCTTTAAAAACCTCCAGATTTAATTAAATTAATAAATACATTTTAAGCAATAACAATTTGAGGTGTTTTGGAGAAAATGCCTCTTGTTTTCAGATTTTTTTTAAAAGTATCGCCATAAAATAAAAAGTGTCCAATTATTTAAAACTGAATTGTTGAGTTTTTTCTAACTAAAGGTCCTGAAGGAGCTAAATAAAATTTTTTATATTTTTAGTTCAGAAAAAGACAGAATAGATTATTGTGAACACAAATAATAATTAATAGTATTTTTAAGCAGTAATGTAAGGTGGTTTATGTTCCCCTGAGGAACTTCTGAGGCTTAAAACAAGTCTAAGCTGTCTGGAGTGTTGCATTATGGGTAGTGTCTTTGAGGTAATGGGGTTAGTTTTATTGAAAGAGAAGAAGAAAAGACCCGGTTCTGGGTTTATGGAGACACGTTTTAGTGCGGACCTGTAGTCGAAGAAGAGTTCCTCTCCGGTTTGAATGGCTCTCTTGGCGAAGATCCCGATCCGATGGTCCCCGTTCACCATCATCACTGCGGAGAACAGAAACCGGGTCAAGCAGAAGAACCAACAGAACCCGAGAACGTCTCAGACCGCACGTCATGCTCTGCTCACCTTTTGCATAACAGTTAGGATTGACAGAATGATTAGCGAAGCGGATCTTGTTCCCTTTCCTCGTGGCGTCGACGACAAAATCTAAAAAAAAAAAAAAGTAAAAAAAAAAAAAAGAATAAAAAAAAAAACCACTTCAAAATAAAACGTGTTTGTATTTTTACGCATTTTTACCGTTGTTCAGGTTAAACAGGAAGCTGCACATGTATTTATCGTAGACTTTCCCTCTGCGGTCGGCTTCGTCCTGAGAGATAATCTGAACAAACAACAGAATAAATTATTATATTAACAAATTAAATATATAATTTAATCCTAATTCATCTGCTAAACAGACGATAAAATAAAACAGACATTTTAAAACTAACTTTTGTTCTTTGACAGGAAATCTAACTCTTCAAAATAAGTGTCTTTAAACTGACTGTTAATTTAAAAATAAAATTATTTTTTATTTTCAGTTTGGGCTTCACGACAAAGCAGAACCTGAAAACTTCATGCATCATTTTATTTTTAAATACAATTCTGTTCCCAGATTTAAACATTTATGACAGAAACATGTTTATATTTTTACATCTTGCTACAATTTGATATTTTTGTTTTAAAACCCTGAAACCGTGGCTCTTCTCACACCATCAGAACCTCATCCCGACCCAGAACTACGTGGTCCTCACCTCTCCGCAGTACTCCGAGATGAACTCGTTCTTCTGAACCGGCTCCTTGATGAAGATGCCCCAACCGGCCACGTCGGACGGCGCCAGCAGCAGGTGCTGAAACCCATCACAGTTCTGAGTCTAGAGCCCAAAGGATCCTGAACAAAGTTGGTCGGTTCTGTTTTACCTTCTTGGCCCCCCTCTGAATGGAGCAGTTCTTACAGGACACATTCTTGCTGTCCCAGTGGTCAGCGGCGCCACAGGTCAGGCACAGGTCCGGGTCGCACTCCCTCACAGCCAGGTAGCAGGGGCACTGCTTGGTGTTGCACTGGGCTTTGCACCGACAGCCCGGGAAACGGTTCTGACCTGAACCCAAACATGAATAAAAGTGACCTCCGTTAAAAAAAAACGCCAGAACTTTGACCCGTTCTGCCTGCAGGGCCCGGTTCTGGTCTTACACTCGGAGCTGCACTGGCAGAACTTCTCGCAGAAGTTCTGAGCCGTGACGCAGGGACAGGAGGAGTCGCAGGGCTGCCGGGGGTGGTCACATGGTTGGTAGTTGTACACGTGATTGGACGATCCATCTGAGGGGGAAGAGGTCAAAGGTCGTTCTGATGACTCAAAAAACATTTTTTAAATACTTTTAGTGACACCAAAAAATTCCCAACAGAGATTTTTACCACACAAAACAACTCTAGTGTTTTGTTTAAGCCCTTCTTTTATTTTGAAAGGATTATGAAGTGGAAACGACAGTCACAGGTAAGCTCATCTACGGAAAACTATGGAGTATCCCCGCTAACAGGGTTAGCATTAGCACAGGTCTCTGTTTTATACGAGGAGGTTTCAGCTGCAGGACTCAGAGGTGAATCTCTCAACCGTGTGGACACAGTGGACATTATAGAAACCAAAACAAGAAGCTGCTGTGAAACAGCAGGAATATTTTCCATCAAAACAGCTTTTACTGCGCAACTTGAAATATTTATTTTTTTTTAAATGGAGAATTTCAAAGAGTCTCTGCTTAAAATGGCCATCTCTAGTCCCGAGTCGAATCCTTACAGAATTGTTTTTTTAACCTTGTTTCTTAATAATGCAAGTTTTACATAAAGTATTCTTGGACTAAAACTGGGCGGAAAAACAGCTGAAGTTCAAAATAAAAGTCACATGTTAGTTGTTGGTAAACAGATGCATCCTAGCGACCTCTGACCTTTCTTCAGCTGGATCTTCCTGCAGTGGGTGGCCCACAGCCGATGCTTCCTCTTCTTCTTCCTGGGCGGAGTGTCCTCGTCTTCAGCCGGAGCGCGGGCGATGATGGCCGACTCTTTGACCCGGAACTCGTAGACCTGATCCAGAAGACGTTCAAACCGAACTTTAATTATTCAACAGAAAGTTTCTGCACATTCAAGACTCAGTTTGATCGTTGGACTTCAAATTCTTTCTATAAAAGATGGACGTCTGGTTAATAACAGTTTAAATCTCACTGGAGACGCAAACATGGAAGAAAAGTTGGAAAATTTCACTGTGAATTAACAACAAACTCCCAGTGAGTTCTGTGCGCCAAAACAAAACTGAACTTATAGATTAAAAAGTCTGAACACACTGGATTTAGTGTCCAACTGTCTCAACCCAGTGAGACACTGTCTTCAGTAACTCTGATGGATCATCTCAGGTCTTTGACTACTTGTCCTGCAAACTGTTTTTTAAACAGTTTCAGAAGAATTTGATCAGCAACTGCTTTGAAAGACTTTCGTTTCTGGATTATAATCTGTAGAACAAATCCTAATGTTAGTCACAGTCGGTTCTGTCTGTCTCCTGAGTGTCTGATGGATTTCAGGGCCCACCTGTCTGCAGGTCTTGGTTCCTATGAGGCGAGCGATGGCGCAGAAGTTGTCGTAGTACGTCCCGATGAGGACCCTGAACAGGGAGGCTTCGGCTCCGCTCCAGTCCACGGCTTCAGCCTCGCCGCTCAGCTTCATCTTCACCGGCGTCTGACACCGGGAGTTTCCCTCTGAGCAGACCATAAACACACTGGAGGTCAAAGAGTGTCCTCTGCAGAGGAAGTCTGGGTAACAGACAGCACCTGAATGCACCACCAGCCAGTTATTGTCTAAATTAAGGAGGATTTATTAATTAAACACCGGAGAAAATGAGCAGTGTTCAAAGGTTTTACCGGAGCTGCTGGTGACCTCGTCCTTCTTGTTGTCGTCGTTGTCCCGCTCATCCTCCTTGCTTCCCTCGCAGTCGCTGTCGGTATCTTTGGTTTCTGAAGAGACGGTCGGAGTGCTGGGCCGACTGTTGCTGTTGCTATTGGGCTGTCGGCCGCGGCGCCGGCCCACCGTGCGCTTGGAGGGAGTCTTGGGCCGCTCGTTGACGACGCCCGCAGGGTACTCCCTCACCATCCCCTCCTGAGACCACAAGAGGAGGTTGTAATTCAGCTTCTCTGACTCAGGCCAGGCCCCAGGGGGTGAACCCCGAAGGACTCACCTGCACCAGGTACATGTAGCAGCTGAGGCCGCAGGGTTTGGTGTCCACCAGGTTCTCCAGGTTCTTGCGTTTGTAGGTGTTTGGAGTTGCATGGAAGGCTTAAAAAATGAAAGTTAGATGTTAAAACGAGGCGAAAACTAATTTTCTACAAGAATTCTGTTAACTTACATCTTTTATGATGATTTTATTAAACAAAGCAAAAACTTATTTTTATTTAAGTTTATATCCCAGAAACTATTGATTATCATCCCCTAACAGGACAAAGATGAGACAGAATTTAATCGGTGCTCCTAGATAATAAGCTAAACTGAAGATTAAGTAATTTTATTATGTCAAAAACAACAAAAAGACGTAGACGAGACATTTGTTATGAGTTATACATGAAGGCAAGAAATATTCAGCCGATAAGATTTTTTTCTGTATTTGTTTTCAAAAACTGACGAGGACATCAGGTTTGGTTGTTTTTCTAACCAACAGCTCAAAACGTTTAGTCATTTTCTGGGATCTGAATAAATAAGAAACATTTACGGTTCCCTCCGGTTCCACCCTGGATTTGTTAAAAACAGAACTAGAACCTCAGGCTGTCGGGTCTGGGTGTATTTGTGCGGTCAGGAGTGTTTCGGTGTGAACTAACGGTGCAGGAAGCAGTCGTATTTGAAGCAGCGTCTGCAGAACAGGGTGTGGAAGGAGTGCAGGCTCTGCTCGCGCTGCACGGAGCGAGCGTTCGGACCGTCGATGTTCGGCGTGCACTCTGGCGGCAGAGCGCCCGGCAGCTGCTGCTCCGTCAGCTCCTTGTACCTGAAACCATGTAAAAAATAAAACAGACCAAAGTTTGTTATCAAATTCTAACAACAAAAAACTCACTGGTAAACTGTTTAATTTCCACAAAACAAAATGTTTTATTTTCAAGAGGAACTTGATAAAAAACTAAAAGTTTATTTAAACGGGACGTTTTTTGTAACGTATATAAATGTTTCTACAGCTCAAACACGCGTTAACTCAACACCAAGGAGGAAAAAACTCAATTTTTAATTAATTTATTTACAACTTTTCTCTCAGAAATGTGAATTACTGACGAGGTTAAAAGGTAAAATGTTTGATTTTAAAACGTATTTCCACCCAAAATGGTAAAATTCATAGTTTGTACTTATTTTTTTTAAATAAGCATACCATATAAAACAAATTGACCATTAGTGCTAAAATGTCAAAATACAAGATAATTATATCCTTAATATTCTAATAAAAGATCTTAACCTTAATTTTCTCAGTAAATTTCTGTTTTTATTATAGGGTGAATGAAATAGGGATATTTCAGCAACAATATGAACATTTTAATAAGCATTCTTAAAAGTTATGGCTTTAAAAAGCAAAAATAGTCCATTAGTTTACACAAAAAAATGATAGAAGCTAAAAAATACTTTATTTTAATCACCGAATATAAAGAAGTTATCTTTAAAACTCCAACAAAAAGTCTAAAAAAATCCAAATAAAAACACGGATTTGTCGTTTTAAAATGGAAACAATGTAGTGATTTCTCAGATGAGATACTTTATTTGCTGTGAGCAAAACAAACAAACAAACAAACACTGACTTCTCTTTGAGCTCCTCGGTGGAGCCTTTGTCGGGGAACATGGAGGAGATGGCTTCAAAGATCTTGTCAGAAGGAAACTTCTTACTGGAGTCGCTGCTGCTTCGGCCTGAAGACAAACACACTTTATCAAAACGGCTCATTTCTCCTGAGGTCCTTTCATTGATCAAAGATCCAGGAGGAGTTGTTCACCTCCAAATGTTCCAGATCTTAATAAAACCACAGAATTTATTTTGCAGATTTTCCATCAACAGCACTTAATGTTTTAGCATCTAGTTTGTCTCAATGTTTTGTGAAAAAGGAACACATTTAACAAAAATAGGTAAAAAAAAAAAACAACAAAAAAAACCAGCTGATTGTCATAAACAAATAATAATCAGCAGAAAGTTCAAAGTTAAAGACAGTTTTACTCTGAGCTGAGAACCGGACCAACTATCAGAATAAATTACAACTCCAATCTAAACTGATTACAGTTCTTTTTGTTTTAGCTTTGAGGTCTTTCTGCTCACCAATAAAAAACTACAGGAGGTTTAAACCTGCGGTTCACAAACTGGAAGAGTTTAACATTATGTCTGGTTTCTGAAGATCATCTCAGGACCTCCAGTTTGGTGTTTTGTGACCCTCAGTGGGGTCCTAACCCCTACTTTGGGAACCAAAGGCCTAAAACTTGAAGCAGGTTAGTTCTTCGGGTCCAAATATTCCTGCAGATCAACCGGAGCTTCATCTGAACTCCTGACTAAGCTCTGATTAACTTTTGTTTGGTTGTGATCCGAATATTTAAAAGGATCTCTGACCATCTGCACATTGTTTTTTCTCTATTCTAATAAAAGTTGTGACGCGTGAAAACTTCTAATTACTTTAAAAGTGATACATGTTCATTACATCTTTCACCTGAGGATGTCATCATTACTTTAACAGTGCAATGCATTCTGGGAGGATGGCATGCATTGGTTGTAGTGGAGACAAACAAGGATAAAAAGTTTTATAATGCGTGACAATAAAGTTATATTATGCTGTATTGTGTTTAATTAATTAGCTCCGGAGCTAAGGCCATTACTCATTTCTCCTGTGTGTCAACACCCTCCGGTTCAAATTAAAGAGCTGAACATCAGAAAATGTCCAACATTAACATTCAAGCTGAACGGAGCTCGCACCTGAGCAACCCGTCTACATCATTTACCCAGAATGCATTGCCATGTAAATAAAATGGCGACGTCCGTGTGTCAATAATTTTTAAAGAAATTATAAAAACTGAATAGCCTGTGTTTTTAGAGCTGAAGTAATCGTTTATCAAATAAGGTCAGTTGTTCCAACTAGTCGGAGATCCCTTTAAGGCGAGTCAGACTCCAGTTCTGGACTCACCCTCCAGCCGGTCTTTGCGATGGTCCTCTGGGTGGTCGTTGCTGTCGCACAGGTCCATCTTATCCACCTTAAAGTCCTGCTCTTCCTCCTTCTCGTCGTCCTCGTTGTCGCTGTACTCCGTCAGAGCGCTGACCAACTCCACAAAGATCTCATCGTTGATGAAGCCGCACTCTGGGGAAAAATACAACTCCCCTTTAATAACACAAGTTTCTGGTAACAATTTTTATATTTTTATTATTTCGTCTGCTAAAAGCAGAAAACAGCAGCAGATTTTTAGGACAAAATTGTCAAAATAAAACGATTTATTTCTCTATACTACTTCATGTTTTGAGTCCAATAATGAGATTATTTGGGGCCGAGTATCTGCTGAAGGCCTCTGGTCCTCACCTCGGTCTCCGTGGACTTTCCCATCGTAGTTCTTGATGAGTTCCTCTATGAAAGTCCCATCCTGGTCCAGGATCTCATCTCCCATGTAGGGAATGTTGTGCAGCACCGTCTCGTCTTCCACCTGAAGCCAAACACCAAAATCAGACTTTCCTCGCTGGCAGAGCAGAACAGGGTCTACAGAACCGATTCTGCTTCGTTTTCAATGACAGGAAAGTGTTTAGGGTCAAAACGGACCATGAAGTTCTGCTGCAGTGGAGACCAAGAGTACATGACCGGAACTGAGGCCACGGTATTCAGAGTCTTCAGGGGGATGACCTGACGGGGGAACTCTGTGAAACCGCTGTCCACCGTGCACTAAGAAGAACATTCAGTTAGAATACGATCAGAGTTCGCCTGGACCTCAGAGGTCCTCAGGATTCTCCTGGACCTCAGAGGTCCTCAGAGTTCTCCTGGACCTCAGAGTTCATCTAGACCTCAGAGATCCTCAGAGTTCATCTAGAC